GAAAATTCTAGAATTCTTGTGTCTGACATCCCAGATATGGGCTAGGTGCAAGTGTGGGAAGGTTTGTGGGATCTTTCCAAATGAACTTGAATCAATTTTACCTCAGAGGAGTAAAGCCAGTTATGCAACCACTTCCAAAGCAGTTCCTGGTTGGTTTGAGTCACAGATATTTGGATTATACCACTCCCCATTCCAAGAAATACAGATGTGCTTTGCTAATTTTCAGGGACTTGCCACTGCGCAACCAGTAGAGTAGACCAGACTTTTGCTCTTGATGAACAAGTGGAAACTACTCATTATTTCTGAAAATACTGAATTATAATCCTTCATGAAAGCTGTCTCAATTTCATTTATAGTTACAAGAATTTACTTTCAGTTGATTATTTTTTGTGTGTATCTCCTTTCAGATACCACTCGTGTTCAGAAGAGTTATGAAATGAATGGTCGTGAATATCACTATGTTTCAAAGGACACTTTTGAAAACATGGTGTATAGCCACAGGTAAGTAGGAGAGATGAATTACCAATTTATTACTGAAAAGGTAATATGATCCAAGAAAACACAATTTTGTAGTTAGGTCCCAATTCTGGGCTCCTTTACTTGTACTTACTATGTATGTTTGGTGTAAATTTGGGTCAAACTACTTGAGCCCATTGCTTCAAAAACTGTGTTTTGTGCAGTTACAAATACACTCCGCTATAACTAACCTTAGAATCTTTCTAAAATAAAGTGGGATTTCCAGTCCTGAGCTCATTTGATGTGCTTGTAAATTATGGGCTTAACTCTCCTGGAAACCAGACTGCTTTCTAAAATTGAGCAGTGATTCAGACCCTGATCTGCAACTGTAGCAGTGATGGCATCTCCATGTAAGCAGCTAAACTGTACAGGCTAAACTTTAAAAAGCATCTGCTCCTTTCTATGCATCAATAATCCCTCTCAGACCAGCTCAGTCTCAGACCAGTGCTGGAAGCTACGCTTCTTGAGCTGTGCCAAGTGATTTAAGATCTTCTGATTTATGATGTTATTTGTACTATATAAATGAGCAAGCATTTTAACATTAGAATCACAACCTCTAAGCACATCATTTGTAACAAAATGAGTAAAAAATGCATGCCTTGGAGATGTCAGACTGTAATGGTTCTGATTATGTGTCCAGTGTAGTGGGGAGGAGCAAAGGTGGAGGCTGTTCATCAGTGTTCACTATGTTTTACGATCATTCAGTCTTGATCACTGGATTACATTTGAAGGTTTTACCCTTAAACGGAAGCTTTTTGAGACTTAAGTGCTCTTTCATTTTCCTTCTTCCTCACCACTGCTGCAGAATGCTGGAATATGGGGAATACAAAGGGTACCTGTATGGTACCAGTATTGATGCAGTGCGAACTGTCCTCGGTGAAGGGAAGATCTGCATAATAGATTTAGAACCACAGGTGAGTTATAAAGGGGTAGGGAATCTAAAGTTCATATCTTCTGGAAGGAAAAATAATTCTCTACATGTTCCTGAGCTAGTGGAATAGTGCTAGTTGCTCTGTCTAGTTTTTCACTTCAGCTCATGGTGCTTGTTAATAATAGATTTGTTCTTCGCATGGGTCTGAGGGCAGGGGGTGGGGGCCCACAGGTACCACAGTGGCAAATATGTAGAGATAAGTATAGCTTATTTGTTTCCAAGTCAGCAGCTGCATTATCAGGTGGAATGGTACAGGAATGAGTTTTCATACTTGCTTAAAGCAAGGATTATTCTTTCCTGTGGAGACTGTTGTATGGGATTTCCTCTTCCTCCAAGCCCTGGTATTTGAGAGTTCTGTCTTCCGTTAGCAGTCTCTGAACACCCTTTGGTAAAAGCAGTAACTATTAAAGTAATCAAGCACAAGCAGGGAATTATATCACACATTTATTTCTCTTCAGAAGTGACTTAAAGGCTGGGGGTAAGCTGCTGGCACATGACCAAAGAGCTCTACAAGAACCTCCAGCGAGTACTTGCTGTGTAGACTACCCCTCATCTAGGGACCACAGTTTGTAAATATTTACTCTACAAGAAAGGGCAGCTTGCACATATGCCCTAGCAGATACAGGGAAGAGGTGCTTCAAATATCAGGGTGATTACCAGATGTTCCTGGTAGATGTTTTCTACTCTCTAATTATGCAGAGCCAGTGTGTCAGAGCTTTAGGTTAGCAGTGGTTTGTGCTGTTTAGAATAGAAGTTAAGTTACATGACCTGTGGGATGCCTCTCAAAATCCAAACCGCAATAAGGGACACATTAGGCCACACTTAAGTTTTCATTTCAGGTCTAAAAATACTTGTGTTTCTTCTGCTTCTTCTAAACAAAAGGGAGAAGAGGTGGGAAAATATAATCTTGCTACTCAAACAGATGTGCCACTATCAGTTTTTTAGGGTGTGAGTCTAAAGGGTAAGTTTTGGGAAGGGTAAGAAGTAATGGCACATAGCTACTTCTCAGTAACTGCTGTGAGGTAGGAGAATTACTGCAGAGCTGCATATTTGTATTTTGAATCTGGTGGCTTGGCCAACTTTAGATTTAGAGTTTTTTTCTTTTTTCTAGTTCCCTCAACTGCCTTGCAGAAGTTAAAAAAATGCTTATTAGCATCAGAGAATGTTACACAGCACAAAAAGCAGGATACTTTTTTCCAGTATGGAGCAATAAAGATGTATTTTTCCTGAAGGTAGCTCCCCAGCAGTTAAAAAAAGATTATTTCAGATTCATGTTTAATGTTGTTGATTGTGAGATCTGTTAATGACAGTGTCCAGTCACTCAGTGGAGTTGAAAGCATCTCCTAATAAGGCTACGAAGCAGAATTAAGTGATTGGTATGCTACAGTTGCTTAACAAGGTCTAGTCCAGGGATTATTGGTGAGGTCATTTTAAAGTAGGTGTTTCTGAAAAAGATTATCGCTAGGTCCGGAGATAACAGCATATTGTAAACAACTGGTACTTTATGGGAGTAAAACTGGGATGAATACACTTGAAATACTTTTTCTTTTTACTCTTAATTTGCAGGGCATACAAGTAGCCCGGACTCATGAATTAAAGCCCTACATTATATTCATCAAGCCACCCAGCATAAGCTGTATGAGGCAGACTCGTAAAAATGCCAGGATCATTACAGATTATTATGTGAACATGAAATTCAAGGTGAGATTTGGGAATAGAAGAGACTCAGTTTATTATTCTGGGATTCTGTGTTTAGAACATTATGTATTCTACTGTGTTACTATGTTAAGTCTTTAAAAAAATTATTGTGTCTTTAGGATTAGGTTTTTCTTCTTGTTTAGTTTGTTGGGATGTTTTTCCCCCTCCAGATTTGAAGTGCAAGGGTTGTCATTTAGACATAGGGAATTGAGACATTTTGCTTCAAAATGTCTTTAAAGGAGAGGGGGTTTGTATATTTTTGTTTTAATTGTCTTGTGACAAGATTTGAGTCAATACAGGTTTACTGTATTGACCGAAATACCTGGAATGAGCTTCCTTCAGTAATTTAATCAAATGTTTTTTTCATGTAGTTACAAGAATGTATTGTTATTTCATGTATGCTTAATGACAGTATCAATTCTATACTGAGTTCTATAGATAAAACACAAATCCTGCATGTCAGAAATGCATATCTTGTATTTACAATTTGTCTAGCGCATTGTCACAATTATTTCCATGCAAATCATAATCAAGTTTAGCATCTTAAAATTTTGAGACCTTAATTTGTAACTGTATGTGGAAATGAATTGTGATTGCTATGATAGAAACAAACACGAGCACTGGGGAAATAAACTAGAATGTGGAATGAGAACACTAGTGGATTTGCCTTCCTGCAAGCACTTGTCAGTAGAATAACCAGTATGAGGCAAATGGAGCATAATGAGACCCAAGGTATTTCCTTGGGAAGAGTATGGCAGACTGCCCCATTTCAGAGGCTTGGAACTGCCTGTGGCAGGTGTACTTTACCATAGCAGACTGCATGGCCCGAGGGGTTCTCCAGATGCCATGCAGGTATGTTTCTCCACACAAAACTAAAGCTTTATAGACTTACTCTGTGTTTCACAGGAGGAAGATTTACAGGAGATGGAAGACTCGGCTAAGAAAATGGAAGCTCAGTTTGGTCAGTTCTTTGATCGAGTGATTGTGAATGACAATTTGCAAGAAGCGTCTGCACAGCTGCTGTCTGCAGTCCATCATGCACAGGACGAGCCCCAGTGGGTCCCCGCAGTATGGATATGCTCTGATGCTCAGCCCTGATTCTGAGCAGCAGGCAGCTTCAGAAAGATTACAGCTTATGTTTAACTTCAAGAATAATCCTAATGTCAGGATTGCAAGAATTTATCTTTGTATGTGAGGGATTTGGAAGAGGATTAGGAAAGCTGCTACAGGAGATACAATCATACTATGTTTTGTGTAGCTCTTCAGCTTCTTATGTTACAGTTGCATCCACTTTTGTACGAAAAAAGGAAATATTGTGAGCGCTCAATTACAAGAATAAAGAAAAAAATCTATTTTGTTGCATGTATCTGTATGATTTACTCATACATAGCTATGGAAAAGTGCTATTCTTTCTTATGGTCATTCTGGTACTGTGATACCTGAACATTCTGAAAGCCTTACTGACAAATGATATTCAGTCCAGAGCATGCTCTTCTAGCATGCTGTCTTTAAGCAAAGCATGTTATTTGTGAAGGTAGTGGTTTCCTGCTTATCCTTTTTACCTTTTAAGAGTGCGGCGAGGCGCAGGGGCGCGCGGTTCTGCTCTTCCTTTGCAGGGGGCGCAAGCAAGGATTCTCTCAGTGTTTGCACATTGTTATCCGTACGTGTGTATCTCCAAAAAAATATGCATGCGAAGCTTTAAATCGGTAAAGACTAGTTAAGTGTTTAAACCATGGAGTTGGTGCGTAACTGCCGTCTCGGTGCCACCTTCGAGGCCCGGTGGTGGCAGCTCAGCTCACCGCGCTCTGCTTACAAGTGAAGACATTCTGTTCTGCATCCCTGCATGGATACTCAGCGGGTTGGGTAGTTTGTTTTTTCCCCGAGTTAAAGAGTTTCTGGGCGTGTCCCGCTGTGCCGGGGCCCGCCTCATCTGCGCCAACACCGCGTTTCTCTGAGGCGGCAGCTGCCTGGTTTGTGGGAGTCTCTTGGCTTCAGGGGCACTGTGGCTACATTGGTGCTCCGTAGCTCATTGGTCAGTAACAAAACATCCCTGGAAACCTCTGCCCAAACTCCTGCTTTCTATGGAGCCTGGAGCGAGTTCCTTCAGACGCTGAGAAACTGGAAACAAATAGTAAAACTGGTATTTGTGCCGCAAGAGTTGAGGCTTTCACACAGGTGGAATAGATGAGTGTTCACTGCTGTCTGCTTTGTGATTTCCTTTGCAAGGAATAAACAATACAGAAATTAACTCACTTTTCAGTTGTTCTGTAGAAGGTAACAAAATAGGTGGTACAGAACACAGATGCACTGGCAGTGAAGGCTGCATAACAGTTTGGGGGTTATAGTTTTATGGGGGGGGTTAGTTACTAAAACATCAACTATCCTAAACATTTAATAAATACTGCCACAAATGTAGGAAACAATAAGAGCTCTGACCTCTACCAATATTTTTTCTCCCTTATGGCGCACCTGTATGGTGCGACCAGTCCTGCCCAGTTTGCCAGATGCTGCTCAGGGTGTGCTGTTCTCTACCTATGTAAATGGCACTTGCTGTCAGTCTTCAACATGGCCAAAATCCAAGTGAGAGATTTGAGGCCTAATCCTGCAAACCTTTACTTGCACATGGCGTCTCATTTATTTTGGGTAAACAAACCTAAGAAAAAGTTGCTCATAGGCATCTGTACCAGCATGTGGAGGTACTGGTTTTTCAGTGCAAGTGACATTTGCAGCCACGGAACAAATTGCCATTGTTTCAAATGGGAGTAGCACTGGGCCCTAACCCAGGGCAGGAAGGTTCACATCCAGCTAATCCTGGCTGCTAGAAGCTTATTTTTAGTTCAGAATTATCTGAGGTTCAGCATGAGCAGCGTGAGGGAGTATAGACCAGTTCACTGTGCCTCTTTCAGGGAACACCTTCAAATGATATGGGAAAGAAACAAGTGGTAAGTTTGTGGATCCTTGAGTCTTACCAGTCTTACAGCCTTTTTTATTTCTGATATCAACTGAATTGTTGGACCATGGGAAATATTTGTGTATACTCTTTCAGTATAATTACATAATAGAAAATCTGAAAGTTAACTGCCTTTTTTGTAAATAAAATGGCAAGAGCTTGGTTTCAGATTGTTAACAGGAGAGAGATACTTACTTTCTGATTTTAGCTGTGTTTGACCTGCTGGTAAATATTTTCAAAACTGTATGAAAATTAAATGTCTTATCATATTTTAAAGTATTTTTCATGAATAAGCATATTTCCTTTTATTGCTTTTACTATTGTTCTGAATTTACAACTTCATTAATAGAAAACACTTAGCTTGCACTGTATACTGTGCAAGTAATATTGAATGCATACATTATTGCAGTATTTTGTACTTAAATAGAATGACTGTAAACTTTGCAGTGAAAGCAGTACATTACATGAAAAGTGAAAATTATTCAAGTCAAGTTAAAATGCAAGCTGCACCTCACACACAGCTGTTAGGTACACGTCTCTAGTGCAGTGCCCATCAGAACTCTGGTAAAAGCATATTATTCCTGCATCTTTTACGTACTACTTTTATATAACATCTCCATCAGGAGTCTAGCTATTTAAGAGGCATATGGAGCAAAACCTACTTAGTGTGTTCTGACTGTATCTGGAAACAGCTGTTTTCTGAGAGGTGGTTTCACAGACAGAAATTGACTTTTATCTTTCTCTTTGTCTTTCAGTGCCCACCTCGTCCCCTCCCTCCAGTGCCAAGGTAAAATCAGTTCATTCTGTGGAATTGAGCATGGATCTGTACTGTAGTGTTTTTAAAAGTAATGAAATTAGGAGAAATAAGTTTAATAAACATCTGAGTAGATTGAACAGCTTTAAAAATAATGGCTTTTCTTGCTAATTTGTTGTGCCAGAACTCCTTACAAGGAATACAAAGCATTCTAAAGTTTTACAGGGGCCAAGAAATTTTACTAAATTACCTCTCTTTTAATACTTTGAGAGATAAACCCTTTAAAAATTTTCAGACATTTATGTTAGTTTTATCGATGTCCTTCTTTTCAATCTCTTCTTCCCTCTCTCTTTGTTTTGTTTCATGTTCTTTAGTTTATTCGAATCACAAATCTTTCAGAACAGGAATTTCTGAAATTAGACTAGATATTCTTGAGTACGGTTATAGGTGTCTACTAGTTCGACATAGTGTAGAGAAAAATTTGGGCTTTTTTTCAGTGTGGAAGGGAAGACAATTAGGTAGCTTTTATGACATGGTACTTTAGAGTTCTTCAAAGTATCTAAAAGCAAATGTGATATCAATGATTGATTATGTATAAAGGTAATGACTTTTTAGTAATGCATGTGCTCAGATGTTTCATAACTGTTGTTGGTTTGTTACATATCAGGTAGTAAGACAAGTTTTAATTAGCCAGGTGATTAAAGCTTTAAATCTGATCCACAGCTAGCCAATCAAGAAACTGCATAGTCTCCAACAAAGAGTTGAGCCTTTATGATTGTTTCGTACCCTTAACCCTGTTGTACACAACTGCGCATAAAGAGAACTAAGAGTGAGGATAAGGAAATGAATCACAGAAGCAGCAGTGTGAATTTCACTGTTGTAAATTGTAATTGATTCAAAATTAACTTTCTTCTCCTCTTTGTTCCTTTTACACTGCTTTTCAACATTTTTCTCCTTAAACGTGAAGTGGAAACCAAGGTGAGTTATTCTGGCATTTGAAGAGAATTATAAACATTGGTAATTGCTTTTGGTGTCACTTCATTCTCTCTTTCAAGACAGTCTTATACTTTACCTAAACACAGGCTGATTATTTAAACTGCATGGATACCTGCACTGCCATTGCTAGGACTGTCTGTTGTTTTTGTTTCCTTTACTGTTTGCTATTTCCATACTGAATGAAGGTAACCGAAATGTTGTCCCTATCCTCTAAATAAGAAGTTTATTCTTCAGAGCATGATCAGAGTATTCCAGTTTTTCATTTAACACATGTACATATGCATATTTAGCCTCTGCTGCACTTAAGACAGATTTCTTACCCTGTTTTCTTGCCATCTTCTGTACTCCTGCTTGTGTGAACTGGTGAATTGTTATCTTATCTGTAAAAGGTGAAGGATGTCTTTACTTGTAAAAAGGAATCCCTTTCTTACATAGCAGTAGAATAACTGTTACAAAGAAGGAAGCGAAGGTTTCTCCATGCTGTGCACCTATACTTCTGTTTTATGTTCTGCAGATGAAATTCCACTCAATCGTCCCAAAAAAAGGAAACCCAAAGGAAAGACTCCATTAGGTAAGGTCCTGCCAAGACTGAAAACTGTGTTTGTAGTCCTCGGTGAGACCTGTGCTGTAGCCAAGCTCCTGACAAATACACGGTTTTCAGTCTTGTACTCTATTTTTGGGTAGTGTTCTCAGCTAATTTACAACTACAATCTTTTTCCCCAAATTGGTGTCATTTAAGAACAAATCTGTAATACTAACTGAAGTAACTAGTTCCATCCTCTGCTCTTTCTCCCTAGATCTGTTCCTGGCACAGCATGTCTTGATACTGAATTGAAAAAGATCCTTTATTCCTGCTATTTTTTCCTTTCTAAAATTTTTGGATCCTTCATTAAACAGTCATTTCTAGCTGTAAGGTGCTTGTTATGTTGAATGTGTTGTTTGAATTTTTGAATGAGCTAAGATAAAACTCATTTAACAAGCTGGCTAAATGTCGGTCTTTGGTCAAATAAAGTCCCAAGTGAATCATTCCATTATCATCAAAGAGTTAAGAGCCTAAAAGATGACTACCACCAGAGCTTTTTATTTTTACAAAAAGCAGAGCTGCAGAAAAAACATACCATTTTAAGCAAGATTACAAGTTTGATTTGATAAAGCAGAATGTGTTGATAGAATCTACTGGATTTCTGTAAACTAGCTGACTTGGGCCCATATGATGGTTTGATGAGTAAATCTCCTTTGTTTGCTTAAAAGAGTCTACAATTGAGGCCTCACTGAGAGACCTTTAAATGCAACAAGTAGAGCTGTTGCTAGCAGGGTTTCCCAAGAATGGAGTTTTGTTTACTGTTGTTTTCAGTGAGCTGAATGATGGTGCAAACTATGCCTTGGCTTTGGCCATTAGTTTACTGGTTATTTTTTCATTTTAGCACAGCAAAGCTTTATGAAAAGTGAGAAAACCTGTGCTTGAAGTCAAAACAAAGATAGATTTAGTTGTTGTTAGAAAATCTGCAGTACTTGAAAGAGCTATAAAAAGAAGACGTGACGTGAAATGGAGAAGTAACTGTCTCTACTTCTGATCATGCAAATTGATATTGATGCTGCTGCTAGAATATTTGATGTTAACCTCTCATGGAAATGTAGTTCCTCCAAAGTGCAGTAATTTATCGCTCAGACTGGAATAAACATTCTTCAGTTTTGTTTTTTTTCTGCTCCTCCTTTACTCTTGTGGTTTATCGTTTAAATTTCCCTTTGATATGACACTGTTTTGCTTTTGCACATATCTGTGTGAATCAGCTTGTAACAAACTGTTAATTTTTTCTTGTCCCTTGGATTATAATATTTGCATGTACAAAGGAAAAATACAGAGATATAGTTTTCTCCTGTGGTAGATTTCTTTCAATCAGTCCTCTGTTGTATGTCCAAATGGAAATTGTGCTACTTATACCATACTTACGTTTCCTCCTGGGCATGAAACTGTCGGAGTGAAAGGAGGGTTGTTGGTTATCACCTTGTATATTCTTACTTAGCACATTAGTTTCCCAACTCTTACATTTTCTAGCCAATACATTTTCACCTCAGCTGTAAGCTGGGCAAATACAGATGTTTCGCACAATGTAGCAAAAGGTAACATTTGTTGCATGTTTCTCAGCAGCTCTGAATTAAGGTTGCTGGATCTTTTCATCTGGTTTTCAGATGGCATCGTCCAAGCAGCAGTTCGTCGGCAGTCTGAAAGCAGTGAGCCCCTAACTCCTGAACCTCATGATGTCCCTCCTCAGAGGAAACGCAAGAAGAAGAAAGTACCGACAGGTACGTGAAATAATTGTAGATTGGAAAGAGCACTTAATAAACCTTGGTAATGCAGAAATATGACTGCTCAGTTTGTATTTTGGCTTAAAACATTTCATGTACTTTTGTATTTAAAACAGCTGAAAGTATTCTCTGAGTGAATGGTAGCTCGGAGTTTCAATTTCTGATTTCATGTTCCACAGGGTACAAACTCTTATGCAAATAATGGCAATACAGTTTTGGAAGTGATAAAATAAATCTTTTATATTGTTCAAAGCTCAGAAGATCAATGCTTTTTTGCCACTGTGTTTAAATAATAACTATTTATGTATTGAAGTGAATGTATTTCCATTTTTATGAAAGATGTGAAACTTTCATGTGGTTTATTTTAAATCTTTAGAATCTGAGACCTCTTTTACCCAGCAAAATGTTACATCCCTATTTCAGAATGGAAATGGCATGGATGTCCCCGAAACTGAAGAAACAGTAATCCGCAAACAGAGGAAAAGAACCAAGTGAGACAAAACTAGTATAGCTCGTAATTTGAAATAACTGTGATAGTGAATGTGGCTGAGTGGTATTTTACATTGTCATATTAGAAAAATGTAAAATCTTGAAGCCCGTGATACCATTCAGCCTGTGCAATAAATAGTATGTATGCAGTTGTTTCCAGGGTTAAGAGCTAATATTCTTCATTTGTTTGTTATGCATACCCAGATGCATTACAGTTTACATGAGCCTAGTATTTCAGTCACATACATGAAAAAATTAGAATGTGTAACTGCTTCCTTTCATTCATACTATCTTCTTATTAGTTTTGGGAGAAACAGTTGCTTTCTCATTCTTTTTACTTGGCTTTTCTCCAAGAAAAATCATTTAAATCATTTTAGTGACCTTTCTACCAAGATCCACTTTATTGGCCTTGTATTAGTTTGTATATATTTTTTAAATTCTTAATATGTATTTCTTCCCACTTCACTGTTTTGACACAGGAAGGAATTGAGAGAGGAAAAAAAAACCCAGTCAAGGATTGGATTTACGGTTTTAGTTAACTAATTTTGTGAGAACTTCAGTCCTTAAAATTATAAACTGGGGTAATACTATATAGGCCAGTAGCCTGCTCAGTTCTTACCAGTCAAGTTAGACATGTTAAACAGTCATAGGAGCCTTCAGGTTTTACATTTTACTTCCTGTTCTGTCTCTGCCCCGTTGTATGTTCCATGCTGATAGGAAACCTCGGCCAGCTGAAATGCACTGTTCCAATGAGCTGGAAGTGGAGGAGGAAGACATCATTGAAGATGAGCACAGAAAAAGCCCAGATCAGCAGCCTGTGTTTGCTGCTCCCACTGGAATTAGCCAGCCTGTTAGCAAAGTTTTTGTTGAAAAAAATCGTAAGTACCTCTTGTGATTTAAGTGATTTAAGGACATTCTTGCAAGTAGAGGAAGCATTATTGTATTTAAAATCTAAATATTGCAGTATTGGGAAGAATTTTTTAAAAAGTTTTCCAGAACAAAAATCAATTGGAAATAAATATACATGATAATTTTTCAACAGTGAATGTTAGTGTTGCTGTGCTGGCATGTATGGTTGATTTTTTTAATTCCATGTTGTGGGTGAAAAAGGCTGTTTGGTAGTACCTAGATGAGCTTATTTGACCTAATACTGTCACAGTACTTTGAGAAGAAATTATCATTTACTATACCGCAAAAAGTCTTTCAGGTGGAAGTTTTTTTGGTTTGAGTTTTTTCTTGGTACCAGGGAACACTGAGTAATTACGCAAAGTGCTTTGTGCATTCTTAAATCCCTAGCCTGACCCACCAGGATGCATCACACTGACAGAGTCATGTTGGTATGTATATAGGATGACAAAGGGCGGGAAGTGGGGAGAATAAACTTTCTGATGAAACTTCTGACACTTACACCTTCTTAATACTGAGAAATATGAATGTAGAAGTGATGGTGGAAGATAACAGGACGGTGTAAAAGAATTTCCTCATTCTTTCAGGGCGTTTTCAGGCAGCTGATCGTGCAGAATTGATTAAAACCACTGAAAATATCAATGTACTTTTGGACGTGAAGGCTTCATGGACTACCAGGGATGTCGCCCTCTCAGTGCACCGAAGTTTCAGGTGAAAGATAAATGCTTTGATATAAATAAGCAAAAATCAAGGTTGGGATGGGTTTTTTTTTATTTCTTCCTGAAAGTTAGCACCTTTTCTCTATCATTATGATGTATCTTTATTTTTGATATTCCTAATAAATGGTGGTTCGGGATGCAACAGGTATGAAGTTTCTCAGTCCTTTAGCTTTGGGTATTTGTTGTCGAGAATATCTTTTTCTAGTCTATACCTCACATGTGAAGTGTAACTTATAAAAAGGATAACTAAGGAAGTCATATTGCAAAGATTCAGACAAAATCTGAATAGCAAGAGATTGATCTAGTAACAAAAATATTAGATACCTACAGAAGAAATGTGTTACAGAATGAGATTTGCCCATCAGCTGTAGGACTAGAATAGAAATACCTGAATTTAGATAGTTCTCAAAGAAAAATTGTTGATGAAAAAGAGGGAGGAGTGAAATTGGACTGCAGCATAAGCTTGCATACAATAGCAAAAAATGTTGTGGTTGTGCTGTGATACAGAATGGGAAGATGACAGCCATTTTCTTCTCTGGTGTATTTTATCTGGAAGCCTGCTCTTCCTTCTCAGCTTTTTCTTAGCAAGGAAGATAATTAAAAGACTGACCTGGGAACAAGTTTAAAAGCATTGGCTGAGTGCAAGGGGTAGTGGTCTTGGGAAGCTACAGGCAGCAAGTGAAAGTAATCGATTCCTGTAGCAGTAATGAAGTGGAGATACAATCAGGCAAAACATCTTGGTTCTCTTTGTTAAATGCTCAGGTTCTGATGCAGTCTGTCAAGGGAGGAAGCAGAAGTCCTCTTGCTTGGAATTTTTGAAACTAGATCAGAAAAAAAGCACTCAGAAACAATCTGAAAGGCTGGCATCCTGTCATGGAGCAGGGTTGAACAGATGGATTCATAGGCCTTTTCTGTTTGTAGTTCTTCACCAGTTCAAGATGCTAAACTTGTCTAATGTTCTTTTTTCCATTCAGGGTGATTGGACTCTTTACCCATGGGTTCCTTGCTGGGTATGCTGTATGGAACATCATTGTTATCTACATTTTGGCAGGAAATCAGCTTTCCACAGTTTCTAACCTGCTCGAGCAGTATAAGACACTAGCATACCCAGCTCAAAGTTTGTTCTATTTGTTGCTGTCTATCAGTACAGTCTCAGCTTTTGACAGGTAAAATATGTTTGTATTTGAAAGGTGTATGTAATTTGTGTACAATATGTTCCTTTCTCCTTCCCATGGCACATGTTGATGATTTAATGTGATATACATAAAGAATGATTTTACACATGGCTGGTTGTGCAGATGAAGGGCGTGCTTGTGCATTCAGACCTTTGTTACTCATTTCTGCTCACTGCCTGCAGCCTTGCTTCAATGTGCTGGGGCTGTTTGTGTGATCATGAGGTAAACCAGATGGAAGAGCTGACCTGGATTTTTTAAGAGAGGGGTGGAGAACAACTAATGTTTCTATCAGGTTACTTTTCATGTGAACCCATTCTCCAGTCAGGTTTGCAGTGTAGCAGCATAAAGAGTGTTCCTGGTTTAGCTGCGGTTTCTGTGTTAAAGCTTAAAAGTGGGAATGAACAGAAAGAGGAGCAAAAAAGACCACAGAGTAGATTCATAGATGTTATAGCTGTTGCGTTTAGTTACAGACAGTTTCCATGGCAGCATGATAAGCCAAAGGAGGAGTTGCTGCTATGGAAGAAATCCTTTTTTTCCATGGGATGGTGACAGGGAGGACACCTGAGTTATTTTAGCGTAAGATGGTTGGTGGTGTGGGCACTGAAATGAATGGTATTAGGGAGGGGACAGATCTCTCCACTTTCTCCCTGCTCCAGAAAGGACTGCAGTGTTAAAGCTACAGACCTGATGGAACATTCTGCTTAGTTTCAATCTTTCTTGGATTTGGCATAATGAGGACCATTGCTATGTGTGTGGGATATAGTCGTGTATTAAGTCACTGTAACAGAGGCAGAAAAAGGTATCTTGCAAAAAGTAAAAGAACAGTAAAATACTGTTAGAGGAACAATAATATTATCATACTGGACTGTCTTAATGACTCTTGTTTTTATCAGGATTGATCTGGCAAAAGCATCAGTTGCACTGAGGGGCTTTCTTACCCTAGACCCAGCAGCAGTAGCCTCTTTCTGTAAGTATTTTTAAGTGGATAGGAAGTTGTCCAGAAAAGACCGTATATGGAAAAATCCTACATACTGTTTCCAGTGAAACCTTCCTCCCTGGTTATTTTCTGCTTTAGAATAAATGACTTGCACGGTAGTTGAAAATAGCATTCAAAGGCTACGAACACTTTGCTACTTATTTTTTAAAGCATTTGCAATAGTAGCATTAGTGCGGGCTGTTAGTGAGATAGTTCCTTCCCCACTTCTGAATACAGAACACAGACCTAGCAAAAACCAGAATCACAGCATGCCACCTTTGATGTAGCTGATGGATTACAAAAGTGGAGAATCCAGATTGTGATGAGTCAGGGGAATGTTGAAAAAGAGAGACTGAATTAAAGCAGACTATCACTCAAGGCAGTGGAATGAAAGGAAAGAAAATGCAATGGTAGTTATCATGTCGTGATGAGGCAGCATTTTGGGGGTTTGTATCTGACACTACTAATTCCATTTCTTCCAGTGTACTTCTCTGCGCTTATCTTATCCTTAAGCCAGCAGATGACATGTGACAGAATTAACCTCTACACACCACCTTCGGAAAATGGCAGCATCTGGTACGAAATTAAATCACTTCTGTAAATTGTAACATAGCTCACTTAGGAACCTTAGTCAAACTGGTGGATTGAAAAGATTATACAACATACATAAGAAAGTATTAATGAAGGATTTCCTTTGTCTGAGCTTGTCTTGAATCTTTGATAATTTCACTGAAAAATGAGAACTCAAGGATGGATTCAATCATGTTGATTGCAAATCCATTATACCTCAATCAAGACCCTGTTGGAATGATGCTGAAAATATCATGTCAGGAACATTGAGAATCTCTTTTGCTGAAGAAATGGGACCCTACAACACCCTTGTGTTCAAGGACAGGACATTCTGTAGAGAGTCCACCCTGGTTTTGAAGGAGATAAATCTTATCTGTCCAAGAAATTAATGTCATGGTAATATAGTAAAGTGGTATGTCTGCCACAGGATGCAAAGGCTTAGCAGACACAGCTGGCATTAAATACCAGCATTGTTTCGTGCTAGGCAATCCCATGTACAATGGTTACTTTATGAAGTAGGTATTTAATAGACAAACTCTGGTAGCATGAGTTTTTAAAATAGAACAAAAGCATTTACATTAATATTTGCTGGTTTGTGAAGTTAGATATTTTTTTTTAGGGCTTCTGTGAATGTTTGTAGTTTATTAAAAAGCCTAGATTCTACTGACAAAACCACAATCTGCTGCTATTATGACAGTAAGAGATAATAATAATAACCTCTTAAAGCCCTGTCTCATCCACCCCACAGCATCTGTATACAAGTCCTTGCACTGGCTTCCAGGCTTGCTGTTCACTTGCCTTGCAGCCTCATGAGGAAATGCTTAGAAATAAGATCAACTTGATGACATTGTGTGGTGTCTTTCACCACAGCAAAATGTAACCATGCATTTTGATTTTTATTTTGTCTCTTGGCCAAGAAAAGGAATTTGCTGTTGAAATTTACAAGTGGACATTCTCTATGAGATAATGGGGTTTCTTAGCTGAGTCATTGTCTTTGGTAGTTGCTTTCTTCACCAGGCCTTTTGCAATGCAAGACCATCAGGATGGTCCAAGTAGTTCTGTTTTCACATCTGGCTTAGCAAGCTTGTTTTTATCATACTCTGTTGAAATTATTATTGTAACTTGTACCAGTGAACCCCTAACTGCTGGGTTGATGTGCTTTTCCCAGGACGCCAGGTACAGAGGAAGAAATTGTTCAGCCATGGGTTGTGGTGAACCTGGTAGTGTCTATTCTAGTTGGGACAAGTTGGATCTTCTTGTCTTACCGACCTGAGCTAGACCACAGTGAAGGTAGGAAACATTAATAGGCAAAATTTTTGTTCAGGCTTTTATTTGGTGTGCTCTGCATTCAGTGTTCAAGAGTAGTCCACAGAAATTTTGTGGCTGAGGAAGAACAAGCATCCCTGAGCAGCTTTCCAAAGCAAGTGCTTTGTGCCTGATTTTATAAAGAAAAAACAGTAATTTAAAAAACAAAGAAAAGCCTTGTTTGTCCTGGCTGAAGCAACTGAATTTTGAAACATGAGAGAGCATGTGTCTCTTCTTCACTGAAGGGAAAAAGAATTTTTACTTCAACAGTATTTTGCTTATTTGAAATGTATTTATTCTGCTTGTGTTTTAGAAAATTCCCTAATGTTATTAATGTTCTTTTGCAAATGCTGAATGTGTTTTGAGTTCTGTATTATTTGCAATAGAACACTGCAGTAGTTTGGGGAATCGAAGCTTGGAAAATTCAGATTTGTGCTTGCAGAACAGGACTTCAAATGGGGACTGCTTGTGTTCGCCCAGGCTGGAGGAGGGTGCAAGCAAGTCGTTCCCTTTTCTTAAAAGAAACTTTGCTAGAGGCTGGGCCTTCTGCCTTTTCTTCTTCCAACTGAGATCCAAAAGGTGTATTGTAACTCAGCTGTCCTATCAAGTGCACACAGCCTGTGACTTGAAGTTATGCTGTACATAAAAATAGTTAAGTTTCAACTCAATGGGTATCCAGAGAGCATCATGAGTTGAAGCACAGATTTGTGTTTGGGAGGCTGAAGAGATTCAATTTACTTCTTCAGATTACTTTAGAATTTTAATGTACAGATTTCTGTACTGGAGCTGGTCCCAGTTACTCTGCTCGTTTCTAATAACTACGAGTTAAAAAGAAAACCCTAGGTGGCAGCCTTTACAACCTTTGACAGTAAAATTTATAAAAGATGTTTAAATTGTATTTTTTTAAATAATGAAAGACTTAAGGAACCAGTGGCAGGATTTAACTCAGGTTTTGATGAGTTTTATTAATTTTTACGTGTGTCTACTATGACTAGAAATCCTGCTTCAGAAATTTCAAGGGAGAAGTTCTGTTAAGACTTACCCCAAATAGTAGAGAAAGTTCAGTCTACTAAGGATGAGATAGCAAAAGCATGTGGATCTCAAACTTGAGTGGATAAACCACATTGTTGCACGTACAGATTGTGTAACTTTACCATGTTGACAAGTAGCTGGCAAACACAGCCTGGTCTATATGCTAACCGGGCTGTTAGCAGGACAGAAAGTACCCCTATGCTGAGGATGCAGTATAGGTACATAAGGGAGCCTAGGGGTGAGAAAACTACCTTCAGCAGCACAGAGCTCCACAAGGGCTACCCCATCAGCTGCTTAGCGTGCCCAGCTGGATTTCTTTGCAAGGACCTCTTCACTGCTGACACTATGCTGTCTCCTGTGCCTGAGCTGCTGTGGTGACAGCTAGCTATGAGCAGTACCATTCATAATTCTTTCTGTCCCGGGTTTTAGTGTTGCTAACTTACACTGTGACACATAGAGCAGGTATACCCATAAATGAACGAGTCTCTAAACAGAAATCTTCCTCCTTGAGTCTGACACTCTCAAAACTTTAACAATCCCTCAAGCTACTTCAGAGTTCTGTTTCAGTGTCCAGGTTGAATGCAGGATGATACTGTGTATGATCAGCTGCTAACTAATTGCTAATTCTGTTAATTTGGGGGGGGAACAATAAAGACAGTGGTGCCGTTGCTGAGTTGTTGATACTATGTTTGGGAAGAAAATCAGGAGGCTTGAGGGAATGCCAAGAGCACTTTTCAGGAATAATGAAATTGTATTCTGGTGAAACTTTTAAAAGAAAACATAATTTTTTTCTTTTCTAGAACTGATGTTTCATACTGACATAGAGGAATTCCCCCAGGGAGATATCATACCCAGAGTCCAGCCATAGTGTGGAACAATCATCTGCAGATATTGTAGTTGTGACTGATGGATCAACATGTTGTATATTATGGCCATGTATTATAACTTTCATAAAGAAAAAGTGTATTTTTATATTGTATATATTTGATTTTGATCTTTTTGTGTATGCTACAACTTCCAAATGTGATTGAAAACTTTTATACTTTTGCTTTTCATTTTACAAAGGAGATTATCTCTAGTGCATAAAGTCAAGATGATTTTGTAAATATTGCTACCAAAGAAAGCCAAAGTTTCTTTAGCCAAAGAAACTAAATGGATGCAGAACATCAGGTATTCAGTGTTTTTTTGACTGCTGTTCAGTCTTCAACAACCTGCTTTTGTTACTAATGCTGATAGCAGTTGGTTTACCTGATTTGGCTAAATATTGTCTAGAGATTAAAACAAATCTTACAAAGAAAGTAGTCTAAAGAAGATTCTAACAAAACAGTTAGGAAACATAAAAACCACAAAGTTAGTAAGCATAAAATAATCTGGGTTTAGTTGTCATAAAAAGTATTTGCTAGAATAAAGCATTGGATTGACAGGGATTTTGTTTGATCATCCCTTAAAAGAGAACACTTTATTTTTCTTCATTTAGTTCTCTTGACAAAGATCTTTAAAGTTGATGTAGATACAAGAAACAGAAGTTTTAATGTTGTAACAGTTTGGTTAGCTATTGAATACCTAAATACATCTTTTAATCAAGCAGTGTGATTTTGGGTTGCCAATGGAATATATGTACATCTTGTAATTTCTTGAGAGTTAAGACACACAACTATTACAAAGCCGTTCACAGGAATAGTGTTACAATTTCTCCTTATCTTGTATGGCAAGAGCAATAGTGTTACTCACTTCTCTTTCTAAAGAAACTTGGGATTTCAGAGATGTTAAAAATGTTCCTACTTCTGTTTTGTGGAGATTGATTTCCCCCAAAAGGATATATATTTTTTTGTGTTAGGATGGAATGGGGAAACATGCTTGCTAAAGCAAAAAAAAACCCCTCTGCAGCAACCCACCTTCTATGTAGTGATGTAGTAGTAATAGTTACAGTTGGTGGGTTTTGATGATGATAGCCAACATTCTTTTTCTCTAATATTACAGTGGCAAAATGAAAGCACTGCAGATGTGAATAAATACAGATGTATTGCAGGATGAAACAATCTCCTTAGTGGACACAGACAAGCTAGTTTGACATCCATTTATCATGAGTTTCCCCCAAAGCCACAAATCTATTTGTATATGTTATTTAATATGTATTGATCTTGCATTGTTTTACTTAATGTGTGTGTCTAAGTGTGGTTGTGAAGGGTGTGCAGTCGTCAAAGTTCCCTGAAGAATTACTGTCCTTTCTAGTAGAGAGGTTAAGAGTAGCCAGATAACAGACTTGAAGGGCCAGTTAAAGAGCCAGTAACTTTCAACTTTCTGTGCTGTTACCTGAGTTGCTTTAAAACAAAGATGGGAATATGATTAACTAGGGCTGTTGCCCTGTTGGAGGCTTGAGTTCTGGTCTGTCCATCCAGCAAATTTAAGTAATTCAAAAATTCAGTGTTCATGACATTTTTTTAAATGGTGTGGTAACAGGAAGGGGGGGTGTGGGGGTGGGGTGTGTGTGCAGGCAGGCAGGCAGAGTTCTACCAGAATTAAAAGATGTTCCACAGCTGCTGGCTGCATTCTCGGGCACTCACTTTGTTGTGGGAAGGAGCTGTTTACCGTTTTTGTAAATTGTTAGAGCTCTTGTGTGTGTATTTTTGCAAAACTGAAGCTAAATTATGGCTGGCACTGCATTCTACATTAAAATAGTGAGATTCAGGGTGCCACTCCCCTTCCATGATGCACTGGAGGTTCTTGTCATGATTCGGCTGCAGGAGATGGAGGATGAGGCAGTACATAGTGTTCCCATGTAGGTTGCCACCACGCTTTCTTCAGATGCGGTGTGTTTGATTTACAGAATTGTTGTGCTCCTGAAGATGAGATTAATAATGGGTTCTCATTGCCAATTGACATTTTTGTCATCTTGGCATGGTAAGAAGTAAAATTTTGCCCATAAAGTATGGAGCTCAGGCAAAACTGTGCTAAGGCATCACATCAGTACAGGAAAAACATGAGTAACATCATTGCTTGATTTCTGACATTATTACTAGGAATTGGCCTTCCAAGTATCCCTTGGTCAAAGTGATGCTAGCCAAGAGCCAGATTTGTTCTCACTGTGAAACGCAATAGTTTATTTAGATGGTTGAGCAGGGATAAAGTTAATTAACTTAATGGGATCAATATTTCAAACCAGGCTTGCCTTTCCAGTGTATCTTTTTTGAGAGGGTCCTGAGTGTGTGCATATTTAAATTAATGAGGTTTGAGGTTGCCATTTAAAATCACACTTAATAAACAATTTGATGGCTAATTATCTGTTACAAAGCACTTTTCATTCCATTGAGTTTCACAGTAGAATGAGTTTACCTGAGATTTTTTGTTTGGTTACTTCAAAAGTTTTAGAGCAAGTTTATGAAATAGATGTTTTATTACAGAACATGCAATACCTGTAGAAGCCTTAACTGAAGTGCTGTTGTGCATTTCCATACCATTGTTTTTAATGCAGTGTTTTTGTGGTAATGAAAAAATTACAAAGATGTTAGTGCCAATTTTTTGTTTTTACATATATGAAACAATTAAACAATTGCTATAAACCAGTTAGAAATAATTGTACTACTTTGTCCTGTTTCCACATTATTAGTCTGTTTAAAATAAATCAGTCTAGGTTTTTTTTCAACGCTAATATTGTGTGTAATGTACAAGCTCTGAACAGGTTACTGTGGGATAATATTTTTTTATTTGTGGCAGTGTTGTAAATAATGGCTCTGCTTTTTCTCCATCAGATTCCTGCTGTTGTACTGGTCTTCTGCAACCAAAAATGGTACAGTAATTTCCTGAACACTAGCAAGTGTATTTCATCAGTTAATGGGGTTTGTTTAGCCTTAAAAGAAGAATATTAAGAGGGGAGTCCCATTGCTGTCTTTAACCATCTAAGGGGTGATTACAAAAAAGACCCAAGAGTCAGGCCCTTCTCAGGCTGCACAGTGACAGGATGAGTGGAAACAGTCTCAGACTGCACCAGAAAGACTACCATTAGCTGCCACAGGAGTTGTGACAGTAAGGATCTAGGATGGGGTGGCAGGGGGGTGGACGGGGGCACCACACGGGCTCTCTGTGGGAGCTTCATCCCTGGAGCTGCTCTGGACTGGGGTGGACAGAATCCTGTGCAGCCCAAGAAGGGGTTGGACCCAGCAGGCCTCCAGAATCTCTTCTAAACTAAATTGTATTTGTTTTCTTAAAAAGCAGTCATTTAAAAACTGATTAAATTCCAGTTGGTTTTTTCTTTTAAATGTTACTCTCTCAACTTGGCTTTCTCAATGTGAAGCCAAGTGGCATTAATTTGAAAAGTGTCTTTTAAAGGTTTTTTTGGTATTGCTGAGGTAAACTTTGGGAGGGTTATGGATATGTAAGAATTAACTTGCTTGCATATTTGCAGCAGAATTAATTTCAATGACTGAAAGCTTTGGGATAATGCAGTAAATCCTCATGTACGTATTTATTGCTAAGCCTTACCTTTCTCTTCCTTTTCCCTCATAGTGGTGTTGAAGGTACTGTTGTATTCCTTAGAGCAGCTGTGCTTGAAATTGGTCTCTTAAGTCCACAGACACTTAGAGAAAGTCTCTCAATTTTTTTCCTGGGTGTTATTAACGTTGTGTGCCCCCCGAGGCTGCTCGCTCTCCTCACGGAGGGCGGGGAGGAGAACTGCCAGCTGGGCGAGGGCCGTTGCCCGGCGCACGAAACCCGCCGGCTGCTGCTTCTCGGACAGGTGCTTTCGGGGATGTTTTGTCCCCGCTTCTCCCTGTCGGGAACAAGCTGTCTGTCGTCGTCCCCTCTGCGCTCCCTTTATTTACCGACCACACCTGGCCATGGCGTTTCCCG